TTATATCAACTTAATGTTTATTTTTTGATAAATATCTTGTTTAAGGAGTGATTCATGATTCCTATTAAAAAGCCTTTATATAAAACTTTTTCACTATATGTTTGTATTTTCAAAGTAAAGAAAGAGGTGTATACTCAATTTTGGGAGCCACTGTATCTCCTCTTCTGTTCAGTCGAATATTTTTGTGTCTTCAAATAGAGGCTTACTTTTGTTATATTCCTACAGCAGAGATGTTATGTGATTGATTTTAATAATAAAATTATTTCACCCTAAGATTTTGTCGTGGTGTTTGGTAGTTCGAATCCTTGGCAGTTTGTAATAAATAAAAGTAATAATAATAATAATAATAATAATAAAAAAATAAAAAAAAAACAGCCAGATTCTAAATTTTTCAATACCTAACTATGAAACATCCCCAAAGTAACAGATAAAGGAAGATAACATACATAACTTTTTACTCTGTGACTGTAATAATTTCTTAATTATCGAATTATCAAGTAGCGCTTGTGCAAACAGGATACGCATCAAAATACTCTTCGGCGCAGTAAATTGCTGCGTATTTTGTTTTAAATCGTAGCAGGGAACCAAACCATTGACTGCCTCCGCAACACGTGCTTTTCAGCAGGATCTCCAATCAATACATACACGAGCTTTCTATCTAGGATGACACACGTGAGATGGTGAAAAATGTTTTTTTTTTTTTTATTATTATTTATTCGTGCCTGAGGGCAAATGAAAGAGACTTACTGAGAATGAAAGACCCAAGACTCTAAAAAAATTGTTTAACTGTGTTCATACATTTAGTATGTGCTTATGTGTAATAGAAGTATTATATATTTGTAGTATACTTCCCACATTTGGGGAAATCGTTTCTTTTACTGTCAGAATGTTTAACAAAAATGAAAAAATAAAACTATTTACAAGTAAAATCAAACTTTTGAAATATTTAACTTCTTTTAAAATCAATAATCAATTATCTATATATATATAAGCGAAATACCACTGACTGACTCATCACGATATCTCTAAAACTATACAACCGATTGACTTGAAATTTGGTACAGTTACTCATTTTGCGATGTAGACGCTCACTAAGAACGGATTTTACGGAATTCTAATCCTAAATGTAATTTTCATCCGTTAATCTTTTCTTATCCATTGGTTATGTCATTTTTGGCGACTTTATCGCTAAAAATGATATGACCGACGCCAAACGGAATATATTTTTTTTATATGTATACTGTGTATTGCTACCAATTCAGTTTACTTGGCGAGATTTGCGCGTGCGAAATGGAAAATACCAAATAATTTAATATTGATGCGCTGATGGAGGATGGATTTATCACCAAATATCTTCCACCGCCAAGTCGAAGCATTTCAATGACCTTGCATTGTGAATTTTAAAAAGCTATACTATGGTAACCCCAGCTGACTTCCGCCCGCTTTGCTCAGCAAAAAATAATTTTTTATTGTTGTGGAACCTAGACGTAAGTTTTAAATTTATGAGAAAAGTATTTTATTATTAATAATGATTGATAAATTACATTTGTAAATCTAAACGCAATCTTACGAAGATATTGAAGTTGGCTTTTAACAAATGAATAATAACGGTATGTTATTCATATCATTGATAAAAAAAAAAAAAGTAGCTGTCAAAATATTTATTGGGATGTACGCATTAACTGTAACCTAATGTAAACATTTTGCAAAAGTTTTGTTTTTGTATTTTGGCAATTTTTAGTTTATGGTTTCTAGGAAATAAACGTTTTTGTTTTTTTAAAATGGCTGGATATTTTATCGTTTTCAGAATACAGAATTATTTTTAATGATATGATTTTTTAAGAGCTATTCTGTCTATTCAAATGCGGTTTTAGATATGCTGCTAGCGTAAGAGTTATCCCTATGTAAAATGGATAACGTAATACGGGTGATTTCTTGCTAAATTTTTTTACTATACTTTATCTTTTTGTAAGTATTTTTTGTTGAATTTTTAAATAATTTGATTTTAAAAAATTAATTGTATTTTTTAACTTGAAAAGTATTTCATTGTAGGTTAATACAAATTGATTTTTCTTATTTACTTTTCAGTTATAGTTTTTAATAATGGATGTTGAATATACTTGGATAGTTAGAATACCTACTCCTTTCAAAGTTTTTAAAATTCTTGGCTACGGAGCAAGTTTATTTTCGTCTCTGTCTTTGCTGGTGTTCGGTGACATATCGATGGCGTATAAAATGAGAAATATTATCGTTTCTCACATGTTTAACAACTGGGATCGGTTTAAATGCTGCATTCAAATGCTATCGGGCGCCTCTTATAATACCAACGATTTATATTTTACCGAAATGTGTAAACCAAACACGTATGGATCTATTTGCGAAATTATGGCGGCGGCAGAGTTATTTCCCTATCAGTTCGAAGTGTATCAAGGTGGCTGCCTTATAGCTTCTGTTCGGGAAACAATTCAGGGGGAAAAAAGAAAATGAAGAAAATGTGTCATCTTTAGTGTTTCATCCTCAAGAAAATGTATCTATTCTACTTTCAAAGACTCAATCAATATCTAACATTAATTTATCAAGTTCAAGTGAATAGATTATTAATGATATATCTCTTCAATTAAATAAAGGTAAAAAAAAGAGGAAAAATATTCACAAATTCAATTAGATATGAACAAGTAAGACACGCTGTTGAAAGTATACTCAAAGTCATCTTGAAATACATAGAGAAGTTGCTTCAAAATATACTAAAAGCCTTCCTGAAGTACATAGAGCAGCAATACGAAAATACTTTTCTAATAACCCTCTATGAATCAGGCAGCTGTAATTAAATGCAATGAAAAAAGATCAAAAGTTAAATTAGTGCCTTGGATTTCTAAAGCTTTGGTTTTAAATATATATAACAGATATTGACTATTTAAATGATAAAATCGCAGATAAAAAATATCAGAAAACGTTTGTCCTGTTTGTAGTGCCATGCTTTAAAATTGATAGAAGAACCTCCAGGAATGTGCTGCAGCGGTGATCAAGTCCAAATTCCTGCTATTAGATCCTACCCTGAACATTTGAATAGTCTTCTTAACCATAAGGATCAGCTTTCAGAATATTTTCTTTCTATAATTATTTTGAACCACGGTCAAGTGACGAGGACGACAACTGAGCTGGTACCCCCCTCTCCTAACATCCACACCACACCAACGGGAGGACTTTGGGCCCCGACAGATTTAACGTGCATCCACCCCGGCTACACGGTGGGTCTTTGGCGGCCAAGGATCGAACCCGCGACTGAGCGAAAACCGCCGGCCACGAATCCGAAACCTTGCCCACTAGGCTACCTAAAGATTGGTACGTCAATAATGTTGTTGCGTAATTTAAATCCTCCTAAATTATGTAACAGCACCAGACTCAAAGTGAAATCTCTAAAAAGAAACGTTATAGAAGCGACTATTTTTACAGGAAAGTATGAGGGTGAAAATATATTCATTCCAAGAATACCATTAATTCCATCAGATTATCATTTTGAATTTAAGCGTTTGCAGTTTCCAGTTAGACTTTGCTTTGCGATGACTATCAATAAAGCACAAGGGCAGAGTTTAAAATTAGCTGGTGTAGATTTACAAAGTGTCTGTTTTTCACATGGTCAATTTTATATGGCATGTTCAAGAGTTAGTTCACGTGAAAATCTAATCAACCTTCAACCAGAAAAACGAACGAAGAATGTTGTCTACAGAGATGTTTTGGAAATGTAGGCATATTATTTCATATTTTTCTAATATTTAACTATTTCTAAAATAAGAATAAGATAAAATAATAATGAATGTAATAATTAAGATAAATAAATTGATATAATAAAAAATAAAAATGTAGTTGTCACCCTCAAAAATTGCCATGCATTCAAAATAAAGACAATAGAAATGTAATACACAAAAAAATTGTTTCAACAGGTTTAAAAAATAAAAAAATATATATAAAAATGTATTTTTATTTTTATGTTGGCAATTTTTACATGGTTTTGGCCTACTGGGGATCCGCCATGTAGAATAATGGGAACACATCGCACTACACACTACCTCATCGGTGATGCGGAATTCTGTTCAACGACAGATTTACGGACTAAATTACATTTTCATTGATGAATTATTAACACTTAAATACTTTTCTCATATGTTTGAAAGTCATGGATAACCATTATTACAGACAATCAATTTCTAAAATTTTTAAATTCAGATTATAATTAAATTTAAAAATTTCTTGATATTTTACGTATAGGTTCCAAAATATAATATTATCGTCTGCCCAGCGAAGCGGGCGGGTATCAGCTAGTTTGTTATAAGAGCTATGCACACTCAAAATCTAGTAGCTTACTTCACCTTTGGTATTTATGAATAATTATATATAAAAAACTGGGCGTATAATGCTGATAAGAATAGAACATCGGATAGCTCATAAATCTTTCAATTGCGTCATCACACTCATTATTTGAGAAATATCAGCAGATAGAAAAAAAAAATAGATAATTTAATTCATCCTTCGGTAATATATATTAGTTTAACACGTAAAAGTTATATATGAAAGTCTGCCTCCCTAGTTTTCTTCGCAAAAAAGTAAACTAGTATCTGTCCGAGTAGTTCAGAAAGTCCCATGTTCGGTTTTTAATTAGAGAAAATGTAACAATTGTATTAACATTACATATATAAATTTATACAAAAAGGTTTCCGAAAAGTAAGAAAGTACTAATATCTATTCCCTATACTTCAAAAAATTTTAATCAATGTAATTCGTGACTATAGTAATGGTACTACAAGTAAATTATTTCAAGATTTTTTGTGATTGCTTATTAAAGTTGCATTGAGAAGCAACACGAAGATTATTGGAGACAGGACTCGTAATTTTGAACCTTGATCAAGTGATGAGGACGACACCTGAGCTAGCACTTTCCTCTCTAAACTTCCACACCATGCTTTCGGAAATGGATCTTGATCCGGTGCAACGTGCATCAGCCCTGCTACAAGGTGGGACTTAAGTGGCATCATGGTTCGAACCCACGACTCGACGAAAACAACGCCTACAGCGAGTCGACGACCATGACCGCTAGGCTACCGTAGTCATAATTAAATGAAGAACAAGAATTATATGTTAAATATTTTTATAAAATGTGACATTTGATAACGCCTTTTCCTTGCAGCTCTGTTTTTATCGAAAGTAAATGTAGTTAAAAGATTTTAAATAAGCTTTAGGATATCAAGTTTTGAAAAAAATTATTAAAATTCTCAAAATATGATACATGTGTGGAAACTTTTTGATGAAAAATTTATAAATTGCATAGTTCTGCTTTCTTGTGCTCAGATAATAATATAATAAATTCACCTGATACTATTATAGATTTTTAGGTCACTGCTTGTATTAATTTCTTAATTTTTAAAAGCTCCTTCTGGTAGATTTCATTCCTAAATGTGATGATCTCATGGTATTGCACCATTAGTTCTTTTTCGAATGACATTTTAAATGTATGACTTAATTTGTTTAAATGGTGTTCCTTACTGTGAGCTAAAAATACCAATAGTTCTACTCCTTGTATCCGAAGGAAATCACATTACTTGTAAAAAAAAATCCTGATTACACTTTGTATTGAATAATTCTCAATTACAACAACAATATTATATGGATTATTTAGCCATTACTAAAGAATCTAGATGATCTAGATAAATCTATCATATCCATTATTTCCGAAATGTTTCCTTTAATGTATTTAATAAATTGCTATTCAATAAACTTTTTATAATTTAACTAGTCTTCCTATATTTCTTAAGTAAAAATATTGAATACAAATACAATTTATAATAATAAATTTATAAAATAAATAAATAAAACTAGCACTTTTAAATTTTATATGCTAAAATGTCGCAGACATTTGAGGTAATAATAATCATAATTGAAACATCGTCAATTCCTGGAATTTCTTGAATGCTTCGATGATGAATATGGTGATATCATATACTTTACATAAGTGGGGTGCCTCAGTTGAGGCCCAATGCTTAAAAGATTTTGACTTACTTAATGAAATCTAATCGTGTGTTTATGATATCGCAAGCAAAATGTATGCCAGAACTTGATGATACCAACTGACTTGCAGATTTAGCGTTTTTTGTAGATTTGAATACTCATTTAAGCAACTAAAACATGCATCTTCAAGGTAAAAACCAGTCTATGTTCAATGTTTCCAACCATAAATACGTTCCAAATGAAATTGAAGTTATTGCAAACCCCCAAACAAAAATTTTCAGAAAAATAAACAAACGTTTTTCTTTTAATTTTTTATTTTTGCGACTAAATTTGCAGTCAATATAAATATGCTGCCAGCATGTTTTCAAATGCGATGTATAGAGTTACAATCTGACACATCCAATTTAAAGAGAAGAGATTTGCAGCCTTTATAATCTGTATCGGACGTCTACAAATCATGCCTGCCTAAAATCAAATATTCCTGCTGCACAACATCCGTTATTCATGTTATAAGTATTCAATAGTACGTTCATTTGTGAGCAACTGTTTTCTAGAGTGAAACACTAAGATTAGAATCAGAATATCGGATAAAAACTTTGAGCACTCCTTGAGAATTCTAACCACTTCAATCGAACCAGATATTGATGCATTACTTCATAAAATTCAATGTCATGTCTTACACTCATTTTATGATTTCTCGCTATCTTTATTTTTTATAAAATTTACAATGAAATGTTATTTTTATTATGTCGTATAAAATGTATAAAGCAGTACCAATCTAATTCCATGTTGTAGCCTTTATAATACAAAAATTACAAATTATAAAAAATTGAAATTATTTAAATATGTTAACTATACATATTTTATGTTTTTTTTCCTTCTATGAGCTATATTGTTAGTGTCTTAGAGTTAGATCTGCGAGTATTTGTGGGGCGCCCTCCGCCCCGCCCCCCCCAAAAAAAAAAAACTCGTCTTTTTCCAATGGGGCCCAGTAATGTAAAAAGGTTAGACACCTCTGCCTTTTTGTTCCTTTTAATTCAGTATGTTTTATTTAAATAATATGTTTACATAGGAATTCTTTTCAATTATTTCGCTAGAAAAGTTTTTAATGTACGAGTATGTCCTTTGGGAAAAAAATTAACAGCAGTGAGAACTTGGATTAATAGAAATCCAGGAATGATATAATACCATTAATATGACTAAATGACTAAACTGGATTGGCAGCAACTGATATTTTTTCATTATAAGACTTAATACCAGTAAGTAAAATATAACAATTTTATATTTATAAAATTTTACCGAAATTTTTTTTCCAATTACAGATTCAAAAAAAAAAAAAAAAAAACACCTTTTTAAAGAAATAAGAAACTATGAATCAAGTATCAAAAATAATTTGAAGCATTTAATTTAAAAAAAAAAAAAATTCTGGTAAGGTTTTCTTTCAGATCAGAAATATTAAAAGAATGATTAAAATCGTAATTTATTATGATACTTTTTTTTAAAAAAAAAATTGTCACTGAAATAGGGAAATTCTCACATGTGTAATCTCACTAATACTTAAGATCTCTTTTTACAAAAGAATAAAACAATATTCTTCAATTTAAAAATTACAATTTTGTGAAAAATGAGTTTCACTACTTTGTAAGCCGTTTCTTTCACATTTTTCAGGTGACGGATAATTTAATTTAAATCCCGTGATAGTAATGAACACTCATACAAACCAGGATTATATTTTTATTGCATTTTATGTGTTGTTAGTAACTTTTCTATAGTTCACCTTAAGAAAGGATTTAAGCAATGCACAGTGCTTTGAATATTTCTTGAAAGCTACCTTTCGAGACCCACATAGTAAAAGATGATATGATGCGTCTCAAATCCTTTATCGAATAATTGAATATTTTTTATATCTCTGCAAAACTCAAAATGGAGCTTTTCTTTGATGTGATTTCAGTTTATAACAAAAGTGATTCTAAAAGAGGAGCATTTTCGATATACTTCTTTATATTTTTTTCAATGGGTTTCGAAAATATTAAAAATGATTTTTAAAAAGTCCTTCATAAAAGCTCTTTAACGGATATCCTTTTCTGCTTGCATTCATCAAATAAAGTCAGTCGAAAGTAATTAACTATTAAGAGAACTGAAAAGAAAGTCTCGCTATAGTGTAATAATTTATACTAAAAGCAGTGTTGCTTTATTTTGAGAATGAGAAACAAATTTATAGATATTTTATTACAATTTGTAAACCCACTTCAGGAATAACATTACATAAAAAAGAACTATGAACAAATTATGAACAAAATTTACATTATACCGAATTTTTTTTAAATTTAAATATTTGTTGTTGTTTTTTTTAAATAATGTGAAAATTTATTGCTTCCAAAGCAAAAATTCTTGACTAAAATAACTTTTATGCATTTACAAACCGTTATATTATTATTATTTTTAATTTAAAACTTATTTGATTGCTCAGAATAGCTAAGAATGCTTCTGATATATATTATATCATAAAAATGTAATGCAAATTAATTACCACTCAAATTGCATACATCTTCAATTATTCGATAATATTAAAAGAAAATTCGCATTACTCTGGATCAAAGGTAAGAAGTTGAAAACTTAAATATATCTAAGAGAAAATAATTACAGAAATGCACTTATTTTATGATACAAAAGGAAATCTTTTATGTGCTAGTTACATTTTTCTGTTCCAATCCTAAGAGAAATTGAACTGTGCATAACGTTTTCTTTCATTGGTAAGTAAAATGTTAAGAGCATTTTTAACTGATTTTATTCTGTGTACTGGAATAGTTTGAATTCAGTTATTCTCAAACTGGTTTGAATTTCTTGACAATAAATAATTTGTTTTACAGTCTGTGTAAAGCTAATCATATTTGTCGTTCTGAGAGTGTAAAACGTATGCTGTCTATTACTCTTATTTAGTTTTATTTTATGAACACTCTTTTAACCCTGAAACTTTTATTTAAAGTAATAAAATCAAAAATTATGTATTGAAAAAAAATAAACCTTTTTAGTTCTCGTAACGGTAATTGAATTTAAAAATAACTCATAATTTATAAAAATAATGATAAGGCAACATAATATATGTTATATTAACTTTGTATTTATTTTCATGAAGATTGTGAAGTTATTACAGCTCTTGCAAATGTTTTCGAAAATTTAGTCAGATCTAATTTTCAGCAAAGCTGAGTTTAATACTCACTTTCTGAAAGAAGAGTATGAATTTTTTTTTTCATATGTATCTTGAACATATAATTAAAAAAGTCTTTGTTTTCTACGTTTTTAAAATATATATTCTTTTAATAATTATAAAGGAGAGATTATTAAAAAAATCCATGTAGAAATCTAACTATGACATGGGTAAAGAGTGAAATAAATCAGTTCTATCCTTTTTTTTCCCTCCGGTTTCTTTTAACGAAATCATTGAAATTATTTTATTTTGGCCCTTTCTTAATTGGAGCTTTAGTTTCACTTCTTCCAATTTAAATGAGTTTTTCGTCCACTTTAAGAATTTTGTAACTCTTCTGTAAATTACTATTTATTTATCTCTAATTCCTTTTGATAAAAATTAAAATATTTATTACAGCTGATGTCACCATTAAACGAGGCTTCCGTTTCTCCTTGTTTGAAATATATCGTTATTTATCAATAATGCAATTATTTTTTTAAAAAAATTCATGCATAAAATTTTATGATTCTTCATGATACAATTTGAAAGCAAAATTTGAAGACATTAAATTTGCATATTTTTATAAATTCACTTTAATGTTTGATATTCTACATTAAATGCAATTCTTAAATTATTTACTTAGATTCATTACATTAAGAATTTAGAGCTTTTCAGCAACATTTAATATCATCTTGTACATGATCTGCTTCTTTCCACTTATCTCTCTTATTCTAAGCGAACAGTATTTTAAATTATTTAATTGCTTCTTTTTTTCTATTTCTCCCCTTACATTACGATGTAAAGATTCTTATTATTCTTGTATCGATGAAAATCCGTGTAATAATAAAAATAAAATTCTTTCACATTTTGAATTCAAAATAATTTCTTATAATAGTCAAAACATATTGTGATTTTC